TGAGACGATGGGGCAACTCTGTTGTGGACCAGAATTGCCCTCTTTGTCAGCGGACATCAACACTGAGGCACATTCTCACCGCCTGCCCTTCCTCACTCCATCAAGGAAGGTACACGTGGCGCCATGACAACGTCCTGAAACAGATCAGTAAATTCATGACAGAAGTAGTATCAGCAAAGCAAAAGTCGTCAAATACCGAGCAAACTCCCACTAATGGTACATACATTACCTTCTGTAAACCGGGTCAAAACATCCCCCATGGCGAGTTACCTCAGCGGAAAGGTCTGAGCGATGGTTTTTTGTCAGGATCACATGATTGGCAGCCTGCTTCTTTCAGATCTGGACGAGAGGCTAGTATTCCCACACTTTATTGCACCTACCACGTGTCGTCCAGACATAGTTCTCTTCTCGAAGAAATTGAGAAGGGTTCTTTGGCTGGAACTCACGGTGTATAGCGAAGACCTTATCATCCAGTCCAGGGAGAAGAAGCTGTCACGGTATCGCCACCTCAAACAGGAGTGTATGAAGAATGGCTGGGAAGTCGAGGCCCTCACAGCGGAGGTGGGAGCTAGAGGAGCCATTTCCAGCAGCCTGGACGGTTTGGCACGGGCATTGGGCTGTTGTAAGGAAAAACAGCGCCAATTAAGAAGGAACTGCAGAAACGCAGCACTAAATTCCAGCTACGTTATCTGGCTGAGGCGACGTGAGAAGGCTTGGCGCGACTGGCCACTGTTTTAAAAGTCCCCGAGAGGCAGTTTGTTGGCACTTGGTTGGCGGACAGCCACCCAGCGAGGATAGTTGGGTACCCTTCAAATCTTGGTTTTAACTCGCCACACCGGCTTCTAAAGGGCCGGGGGTGGGTGTTCGACAACCAAGTCGAGCTTTTGTTCGTTGTTTTTTTCGTTTTTCTAGTCTACTTGCTTGTGCTGCGCCGCGCTGGAGCGAGTCTGTCAGTAGATGCTTTCGCCGCTTAGAGCTACTATTGCACAAAGCCACAACACTGCGCGCTGCCATTCGCTGTATGCTTTCGCTGCACCAAGCTGCTGTTAAGCTGCACGACGCCACAACACAAATTCACTACAACATTCTCGTCCACAACTTCACTACAACAGTCTCGTCCATATTGCACTACGCTGAGCACTGGCCTGCTCCCGCTCTGAAGGGCTTTTTTAGCCTTCACCGTTTTTGCTCAACCCCAGGCATTGGCCCACAGTGGCATCCGCTTCCTTTTTTCTTTTTCTTTTCTCCTTTTACTTTCTCCGTCACTGCCTAAAAAACAGTCGAGACGGTTTTTTACCCACCAGTTTTTATTGGTGCGAATTACTTTCCTTCTTCTTCTTCTTCTTTTTCTTTCCTTCCTTCTTCTTTTTTTTTGTTGTAAGGAAAAACAGCGCCAAATAAGAAGGAACTGCAGAAACGCAGCACTAAATTCCAGCTACGTTATCTGGCTGAGGCGACGTGAGAAGGCTTGGCGCGACTGGCCACTGTTTTAACCCTTTATGGGTCTCACATAAGCGAAAGGGTCGTATGTGACCCTTACAGTAAAGTCGCATTTTCTGTGAGTTTTGTTGCTAGGAGACAACTAAAATGGTGCTCCACGCATAGCTGAGGTCCAAGGCTTTCCAACGGTGTAAAAAACAACCATACTTACCATACAAATTTTTGCAGTATCGATCGACTGAAGTCTGGTGAAATTGGAAAAGACGACCATCCGCCATGCGCGCATTTCGCGAATGGGAGTGCATCTCTTGAGGCCGTGTCAGAAAAGCTTTCTGAGGACACTGACGGCACCAGTCTAGGCTGGGTGTCCCTGGAGGATTTCCAGTGTAATGTCGTGAGAAAGAGAGCTCCGTTGAGTCCTCCTAGCTCAAATAAATCGTCCCCGAATGAAGAAATCAAATTTACCAACCAGCGAGGAAGCACAGCAACAGCAACGTTTACAAGGACTTGTCAGGTGTGATCAGCTGATCCGCCTGGCCGTGAGAATCACGGCATGCGTGACATCGCGCCTGAGTACTCATTTGAGCGAGAGTGAATCTGACGCGAGCGGAGCTGAAGTGAACGAACCAAAATTGTGATATTGTGGAACTGTTGCTGCTGGTGCATCGCCGATGGCGAGGTATTGGAGTTCAAGGACGGAATTAGGAGCATATATTCTTCACCAAGACGTAGCGCTTACCTGATTGTTTATCATAGGACTTCAGCTCCATCACGAACTTGGTATGCACTTCGCGCTGTGATTTTTGTGTTTTTTGTTCGCAATTGTATTTTCTCTCAACTTGAAGGGCTACCACGGGTCATACCCTTGCCTGGACATAGTCATATTTGTGTTTTCTGGGCTCGTCCAGGCATACAGATTTTGAAAATATATAGTTTACCCATACCTACAACTCACAGAACTTGAGTTATGGCTGGTTGTTTGTACGCGTGTTTGCTTGACCACCCCTCACATACATTGAGTAAGACCCACAAAGGGTTAAAGGTCCCCGAGAGGCCGTTTGTTGGCACTTGGTTGGCGGACAGCCACCCAGCGAGGATAGTTGGGTACCCTTCAAATCTTGGTTTTAACTCGCCACACCGGCTTCTAAAGGGCCGGGGGTGGGTGTTCGCCAACCAAGTCGAGCTTTCGTTAGTTTTTTTGTTTTTTTTCGTTTTTCTAGTTTACTTGCTTGTCCTGCGCCGCGCTGGAGCGAGTCTATCAGTAGATGCTTTCGCCGCATAGAGCTACTATTGCACAAAGCCACAACACTGCGCGCTGCCATTCGCTGTATGCTTTCGCTGCACCAAGCTGCTGTTTAGCTGCAAGACGCCACAACACAACTTCACTACAACAGTCTCGTCCACAACTTCACTACAAGAGTCTCGTCCATATTGCACTACGCTGAGCACTGGCCTGCTCCCGCTCTGAAGAGGTTTTTAGCCTTCACCGTTTTTGCTCAACCTCAGGCATTGGCCCACAGTGGCATCCGCTTCCTTTTTTCTTTTTCTTTTCTCCTTTTACTTTCTCCGTCACTGCCTAAAAAACAGTCGAGACGGTTTTTTACCCACCAGTTTTATTGGTGCGAATTACTTTCCTTTTTCTTTCCTTCCTTACTCTTCTTTTTCTTTCCTTCCTTTCTCTTCTTTTTCTTTCCTTCCTTTCTCTTCTTTTTCTTTCCTTCCTTTCTCTTCTTTTTCTTTCCTTCCTTTCTCTTCTTTTTCTTTCCTTCCTTTCTCTTCTTTTTCTTTCCTTCCTTTCTCTTCTTTTTCTTTCCTTCCTTTCTCTTCTTTTTCTTTCCTTCCTTTCTCTTCTTCTCCATTATTCTTTTTCTTTCCTTCCTTTCTCTTCTTCTTCTCCATTATTCTTTTTCTTTCCTTCCTTTCTCTTCTTCTTCTCCATTATTCTTTTTCTTTCCTTCCTTTCTCTTCTTCTTCTCCATTATTCTTTTTCTTTCCTTCCTTTCTCTTCTTCCTTTGCCGAGAGCCTTCTGTTCCCATTATTTTATTTTCATCTCTGTCCCCATTCCTGGGTTATTTGGACTTCATTCGCTTCCTTGTCATTGGACATGTTCAGTCCGTTCGGTTGGCGAATTTAAAGATAAAGTTGTATGCAGCACATTTACTGTACGTATGCAGGGCTGCAGGATGCACGGTGCAGTCCCTTATGCCAAGTGTCGGATTTCACTTGCCACAACTGTACATGTACATTGCATTGATGCCAACGCAGAGAAGCTCCTAACAATAGCGAGAGAGCTTGGAAGCTCAGGGCCCTACGCTATGCTTTTTTGCCTTGATGACCTAGACAAAAAAGCATAGGGATGTTATAAATTCTTTAAAAATTCCTGTTTATTTAAGACATAACCTGGGATTCGAACCCGCACTATCGCGCGCCCTGCATCCCCCATACACTTCGCATACATACTAATTCTTCCAAGTTGCTTCACGTTAAGCCCGATTCACAATACAACTTTCTGCGACGCGACATGCGATTTGCGACAGTTGCGACAAGAAACTGCCTGTCGCGAGTTGTCGCAAGCTGTCGCAATGCACCTGTCGCAGAAGTTGAAGAAAGTTCAACTTTTGCGACATGCGACACGCGACATACACAAATGGAGTACAGTTTCGACCCTGGGTGCACGTGCAGTGCACGTGCATAGTACCACTTGTGCATGAGGATGTCGACATGTCGCAAACATGAAGAATATTGTTGGTTGTTGGCAGCTCGTCGCATGTGTCGCAAGTTGCTTGTCGCGTCGCAGAAAGTTGTATTGTGAATCGGCCTTTATGATCTTGCATTTGAAAGCCCTATTTGAATATGCATTGTGGCCAGCCGTCTTTGATGGTATGGTACGGGATAGGTACGGGACAGGTACGATCGAGGGTAATACGACACCGTCTACCGCCTTGATTATTATTATTATTATGATGAAATGACCCAAAGGCAATGTGCCTATCGAGGGGTTCATTTGATTGAAAGAACAGTAGATGTAGATGTATGTACAAAGACAAGTAGGGATTGATGAGGAGAGAAATGGGGAAAATCAACTGCAAGGTGGCGGAATTCTGTTGATTGCATAAGCATAGTCAGCTGTAAATTTCCCGATGACGGCAAAAAAAGCATAGGGATGTTATAAATTTTTCAATTCTCCTATTATTTTTTTCAGGCATATCCTGGGATTCGAACCCGCACTATCGCTCTACATGCATTCCCCCGTACACTTCGCATTCATACCCATTCTTCCAAGTTGCTTCATGTTATGATCTTGCGTTTGAAAGCCCTATTTGAATATTGCGGCCAGTTGTGTTTGATGGTACGGTACGGTGCGGGACAGATACGGGATAGCGCCAGGCGTGACATAAACAAACAAACAAACAAACACACACACAAATACCAAATTAAAGCTGTGTGGACCCTGGCTAGCGCCAGACGTTACTGAAGTAACGTCTTCTGCATAGCTACGGGAATAAAATAATGGACATTTCATAATAACAATGTACTTTTTGTAATTCTTTCTCTACAGCTCCACGTCGTATTTTTCAATTCCAGATACTCGTCTTTAAAAAGAGCTTTGGCCAGTGGAGACGGTGACGCAGAGGCTGTCATTAGCATTCTGTTCAATGTAAGTGTATTTTCAGGTCATGAACGACTAGTTCAAGTTATACATTGTACTGTTGAGGTGACGAACTAAAAAATCGAGAAAAAAAGAAGAAAAAGAATGAAATGTTTGCACCGAAAATGCATCTGTTCACAGGCAGAATGTTTCACAGGTTAAACATCACGAATCATTTGCATTACACTGTAGTCCACTGTACATGGAAACATTTGTATCGGTCTCTAAGCCTTATCTCGGGGCTTTAAACGGCTTAAGAACATGAAGTTGTATGCAAATGGCTCCTGCCACTGCCTAGTGACATCCCTAACTCTATCATCTTATGGGAATGTTTTCGTTTTTGCTTATAATTATGAAGTTGGTTGTCCCAATGAGGAAAACACGCTTTTTGCCGAACTTGACACTTGTGGAAGTTGAAGGTGAAATGTGCGACGTGCTCCTCCTGGGCTCTGCGTGGCAGTTGTGAGTCACTCAAGTTTCGAGTTCGGAAAGAAGCGCGTGTTCCTCATTGGAATAACCAACTTTATAACTAATACCGCCGAAAGCGCAACTTCTAAGTTCGTAGTGCCTATAATAATGACTGTTATGAATAATATTATTTGAGTTACCCGCATATGATGTGTAGTTGATGATTCATCACATCCAGAGAGGTGCCCTGTTTTTTTTGTGCTTCCTTGCGTCATAAGACATTTCTTGTCATCTGAATATCTGTGTTTCATCTGACTGTGGAGAGTAGGTTGCATCAAACGCTTCCAGTGCACACCCAGGCCTGGAGACGATTTTACGCCATTTCTCCACCTCGGGTGAGTCCTGTGAATAGAGAAGTGGCATGCCGTGAGGTCGAATGCAGTGAGTAGTAGGTATTTTACTACTCCCTTAAGGAAGTTTTCCTTTTTTTGCATTTGTGGTACGAAATTTTTCTTGGCTTTTGGCTTTTCGATTGGTTGATTCTTGAGCTTTCTCTACTCATTTCCCCCGCTATTTTCCCTCAGGACCAAAGTCAGAAATTGATAAAAATGGTTATCCGGCCTGCCGACGGAATGACTGTGCGCAGGTGTAAATCACTCTCAGCTTCGAGCTCGTACCGTGGGGTACACGCGACCTACCCAAATCGTCGGCACGGCACTCACGGTACCATAGTAGAAATTGGCCCTGAGGCTGTGTTTACATGAGAAATTTCAACCCGGGTCGAGTTCAGCCCGGGTTGAAAGTCTGTACGATAGACAAAATAGGTGAGCTTTTACACGAAGACAGTTGACCCGGGTCAAATACTGATATGCCGCCAAACGTCTACCTCTAGAGTCCTGTATGGTCCCGTGAATCCGTCCGCGCGAAATTTGCATGTGCAGTGCTGTTCAAACCTGGCGCGAGATACGCACAGAAGTACGTTTGTACGATTTTCTTGACCCGGGTTGATTTCAACCCGGGGCGACATTTCAACCCGGGTCAAGCGCAATGCGTCATGTAAACGCGCTATTCATTTTGTGTACATGGCGGGTTGAAATCTGACCCGGGTCGAACTCAATCCGGGTTGAAACACCTCATGTAAACACAGCCTGAGGGCCGATTTCCACTACGGTACCGTGAGTGCTGTGCCGTGAGTACCCATAGTGATTTGCTCGAGTGAGGGGCAGTTTTGGCGCGAGTTCCTACCGTGGCTCCTGCCGTACCGCGCCGTGGACATTCCGGTGCCGAGGGGCTCTGGGGGGTGGAAATGGCATGCCGTGGTATTCCGCGAGGTCGAATGCAGTGAGTAGTAGGTATTTTACTACTCCCTGAAAGGAAGTTTTTTCTTGGCTTTTCGATTGGTTGATTCTTGAGCTTTCTCCAGTCACGTCCCCCGCTATTTTCCCTCAGGACCAAAGTTAGAAATTGATAAAAATGGTGATCCGGCCTGCCGACGGAATGACTATGCGCAGGTGTAAATCACTCTCAGCTTCAAGCTCGTACCGTGGGATACACGTGACCTACCCACATCGTCGGCACGGCACTCACGGTACCGTAGTGGAAATCGGCCCAAAGTAAAGTACAGCAACTCTACGCAAATGGGTGGGCAAAGCCCGTAAATTCGAGAGTCTGCGCTCCGCTTGCGGAAAGGTGTCTACGGAGAGTACATACATGTTGCTCCACCAGCAGAGGTGCTCCGTATGTGGATAGGGGTATGCATTAATAACTCTCTCCCAAGGGGGTACACTGTCACATTTGGAGTTGTCAACGACAGTTACATGGTTCGAGAACTTTGTATGGCATGACACGGATCCGTATGCAGTGCATGTAATAGTTTTTGCAGATCGACATCTAACTTAGCTGGATCAGGGAATAACACTGCCCAGTGTTTGCCTTCTCGTATACCGACTTTGCACTTGTACCGACTTTGCAGCTGTTTCAGAGTTCGGTGATATACACTCCATCGACTTCGCCACACTGCTGAGGCCTTCGGACCTCACATCATTCTACACATACGAGGGATCACAGGCTACGCCAAGGTGTAATGAGCAGGTTATATGGATGGTCATGAGCCAAGTACAGTATGTCCTACCAGCATCGGTACGTCTTCCAATGTATGGCTCGCTGAATGCAGTGTGATAAATCGTAGATGCTGAAGAATTGATTCCGTAGATGCTGAATATTTTTTATTCATAAAAAAGTTGAGGGAATGTAGAACGGAAAGGTTTGAAGAAAACTTGATTGTCACCACCAGGACTCGAGGGACTGTTGCTTGAGGCCAGCGATACTCACCACTGAGCTATAGTGTAGCTGCAATCGCAGCAGAGACCGTTCAGCATTTCCTTCAGGCTTCGAATATTTGCTGAATACTTTTGTGATTTTATTCAGTATGTCCTACCAGCAGCGGGTTTGTCTGACTACAGTGCATTGTGAAAGATTTCATACCCCGCTGGAATATTTGTCCACGTTTCATACAGTGATATATGTATAGAGTGAAGAATGGTTTACAGTGCCTGCATTCTTACTTCCTCCGTTAACAAAAACTTCTGATGGATTTTGATGGATATGAAATCGCTTAGAACAGGTCAAGAACAGTTTGTATCAACTGGAAATCACTGGGCGAAGGTGATTCAGCCTATGTACAGCGTCTTTACAAGAGAAACTTTTGGCGGAATGAGCAGAGAGTTCAGTTTGCGTCGCTTCCGCTCGACTCATTTTTGACCTGCGTCGCTGTCGTCATCTGCTGCACGGGAGTCGTCATCTGCTGCACGCGAGTCGTCATCTCTCTCTCGAGTCGTTGTTCAGCTCGTTTCAGCCTTGCCTCGGCTTCTTTGATCACACTCCGCTGACCTTGATGTCGCCGTCGTTCAAGTAAGTTGGCTTTAAAGCTGCGTGATCCGCCGCGATGGCAATTACTAGTTTCCACCAGAGAGTCGTGAAAAATATTTTACGACTCCCTGGTTTCATCTTCGTTCTCCAGGGCTCTGCGAAACGAGGAGTAAAGGCACAGCCAAACTGATTCCATTTTCTCTAATGGATACCCCTGCCAGCACTGAACGGCAGCGGCTAGCAAGTCCAGTCGACTTTCTTAAGCCATGAGACTCGCATGGGACTGCAGACTTCTGAAAGAATGCATGGTCATCAGCATTCGAATCTGGGCTTTGCGCAGGTTGAACAAGAACTTGACTTTAGAATTATTTTCATTGAGCCGTGCGATCGGAGCAGCTCCTTGTTCATTCGCTCATTGTGTGGGTTCGCTGCTCCGTTTTATCGCTCTCTATCGCTCTCCAACTTACTTAGTGCTAAAGTGGTAGAGAGGCCAAGCAGCGCAATATCCCTTCGGAGAAGTGGTGTTTTAGTTTCGCTCGCCATGACTCTCATCACCTATGCTTCCACAGCGCAACCATCGATTCCGCTCGGCTTGTTGTGAAAGGTCGCTTTCCTTGCAGCGTACCTCTTTCATGGCATGCCAGTGAAGGCCAAGAAAGTGATTGCGACTCATTTCACGGCAGGTTGTGCCCAAACCAGCCCCTCAAAAATCCATCACGAAGTTTTTGTTAACGGAGAAAGTATATAGCTTGAGTTTTCCGTGTGAAGCATGTCATTTCCAGGCCACTTTTAAAAATCTGTTTGTTTCCGTTTCCAGGATAACAATATCACTACCAAAGGTCTCCCTCAAAATATAGAGGACATTTAGTTGTCAGATGGAGAGCCAAGGTTTAATTTATACAAAAGAGAAAGACCAAGGAACTACAAGTTACGCTATACTGTCCACTAACACCACCAGTTACTAAACAATCAGCTCATGCGATAACATTGCACGACACTGACCGACGGTACTGACGTTCTACAACTAACTGGCTAACAGCTCTAGCACATCTTGGATGCGCACTCCAACAGCCTACTGTCCTTCACAGCTGAGACTTTCAGCTCATGCTTATCTTGGTTGCGCTCACCTTCCCCTCCTTATGTTATTTCTATAGCTTAGAACCTTCCAAGTTGGAAGGCTGTTGGAGTGCGCATCCAAGATGTGCTAGAGCTGTTAGCCAGTTAGTTGTAGAACGTCAGTACCGTCGGTCAGTGTAATGCAATGTTATAGCTGGAGCTGATTGTTTAGTAACTGGTGGTGTTAGTGGACAGTATAGCGTAACTTGTAGTTCCTTGGTCTTTCTCTTTTGTATACATTTAGTTCTGTCTGCGGTGTTCGTTTCAGCTCAATTCTCTATCAAGCAACCTAAATCCTGTGTCTGGGTTACCAGATGCTGCCATCTTTGGTGGTAATGCTCGTCCGCTGCAATCACTCAATGATCGAACGATCTACCAAAACTTTCCGGTACGTTTCTGAATGTTTTGTACCCTTTGTGCATGTAATCGTGTGCTAAGCTTCACCTTTCATACAAAATGAATCATTCAACATCAATTCAAAAACCAAACGAATACAGTCAGCTTCGCGTATAACGACACTCGACGGGGTATCAGAAAGGTTTCCTTATACCCCAAGTCTCATTATGTATTACATTTAGATGGGGCTTTGCTCTGGGCATGGAAATACTGTCGTTATTCGCGAATTGTCGTTATATCCGCAGTCGTTATTAGCCTTTGTTGACTGTACTACTGTAGATAGAGGGTATTCAGTAGTTTGAAGGACAAGTGCGAGCGGGAAAAATTCGAAGAAACAATTCACTTTCACCACCAGGACTCAAACCAAGAACGCTTGCTTATCGCCCTATGAATCTAAAATGTAACTATTCATGCCTCAAACATATTTCCAACTTCCATGAAAACCATTATGCCGTTATTATTGGTCGTGATGACCAATAACAACGGCATAAAAGGCACACATTTTCACATTCTATATACATGTATCGGATTTTTGGCCTGCAAATTAAGAGATACTATCTACGAAGCACACAGACAAGAAATCAGATTCTTCCCTGGCTGCAAATCATCTGGCACTAGGCTGGCAGTTAAATACTAAGCCATCCAGAGAGGCCAAAACTTGTAGGAATACACAACTGCATCACATCAACCTTTCTCGTATGTGTTTTTAGATGACCCCTGGTCCCCCCACAGTCGCCACGTCCACAGCCGCTCCACAAGTAAGCTTTTGTGTAGTCGTCAACCAAGCGGCGACCATTTCATTCTGAATTCGAAACTCAAGCCTGATGTGAATCCACACAGGCGGGTGGTATGCAGCCCTCACAACCCACACACTTCGTGTACGAACTAGCACCCGGGGAGCTCTGACATTATTATAGTATTCTTTAGCGTATGTACAGTATAAAATGCACCTATCACATCAAAGTCCCCATTTCAGTTTCCGTATTTGGCTCCTGTTCTCATGATTTCATCCAAGAAGGAAGTCAGAAGGGACGAAGGCTGCAATAAGCCCATTGCGCATTGCCAAATATGGAAGGTATGAGTAATGCATGTGAGTACACTGGGATCAGGAATGCACTGTTCAGTGCTCAACACCCCAGACGACTATGCCCAGGTGGTTGTCTGGGGTGTCTATGGCACAAATTACGTCATTGCGCAATGGGCTTATCTCTTAATTTGCTAAATCCTATATACAGGATTTTGGTCATATTTTTCAGCTCAAAATGGGTGTGGCATGAGAATAGCAAAAAGTATGTGACCAATTCTTCCTTGCTAGGTCTTAGTAGATATCGAGAGTTGAATAAGATAATTTTTTCAAACACTAACATCTCAGGCTCATCTCCTTGCCCAATATTACTAAGGCCTGTGCCCTATTTCAAGATTCCTATATATAGGATTTGAGTTTTTATTGGACCTTGTTTTATCCTCAAAACTGGTAGTTTCATGACGGCATGCGCGATATGTCGTCAAGAAACCACCCCGTGCCACACCTGCAATGTTCTTCTGCACATTCACTGCTTCAGTACTTTCCATGACAGCAGCTGAACAATTATGCTCAAATTTCCAATTATTGCTGAAAATGGGTATTCATCAGAAATATTATCGCCCTATGAATCTAAAATGTAAACATTCATGCCTCAAACATATTTCCAACTTCCATGAAAACCATTATGCCGTTATTATTGGTCGTGATGACCAATAACAACGGCATAAAAGGCACACATTTTCACATTCTATATACATGTATCGGATTTTTGGCCTGCAAATTAAGAGATACTATCTACGAAGCACACAGACAAGAAATCAGATTCTTCCCTGGCTGCAAATCATCTGGCACTAGGCTGGCAGTTAAATACTAAGCCATCCAGAGAGGCCAAAACTTGTAGGAATACACAACTGCATCACATCAACCTTTCTCGTATGTGGTTTTAGATGACCCCTGGTCCCCCCACAGTCGCCACGTCTTCAGCTTCAGGACCTACGATTGGTGAGTCTCCATGTTACTATGAGTATGCGTGATCCATGCATGTGAAAATGATATCAGGAATATGCAGGAATTGAGTAGTAGCAGACGAGGCGCTTCAAAAATATCAAGGAGAGCGAACAGTAGACTGACAAGAGCAGAAAAATGAAGTGAAGTAGGAGCGATGTGTTGAAAGGCTTGAAGATGGATGTTATCATCTATGGTGCACATGGATGTTATCATCTATGGTGCACATGGATGTTATCATCTATGGTGCACATGGATGTTATCATCTATGGTGCACATAGACAAAAACGTACTGCCATGTATATGTACATGTATATGCACACACACAAATACACATACAGTGCTGGCAACTGAAATCCGACCCCCCCTAGCGGTGCGCTAGCCGCGTTAGCGATTCGTACGAGACGCTAGGGGGGTCGGATTTCAGTTGCCAACACTGAACATCTATGGATACACAGACACACACACACATACACACACACACACACACACACACACACACACACACATACATGACTGTATGTACCAAACTCTTATTGCTGGATGTATTTTTCGTTAATGTATTATCGTTGCATCCTCTACTAGTCAACAATGAAACCACGTCTTCAGCTTCAGGACCTACGATTGGTGAGTCTCCATGTTACTATGAGTATGCGTGATCCATGCATGTGAAAATGATATCAGGAATATGCAGGAATTGAGTAGTAGCAGACGAGGCGCTTCAAAAATATCAAGGAGAGCGAACAGTAGACTGACAAGAGCAGAAAAATGAAGTGAAGTAGGAGCGATGTGTTGAAAGGCTTGAAGATGGATGTTATCATCTATGGTGCACATGGATGTTATCATCTATGGTGCACATGGATGTTATCATCTATGGTGCACATAGACAAAAACGTACTGCCATGTATATGTACATGTATATGCACACACACAAATACACATACAGTGCTGGCAACTGAAATCCGACCCCCCCCCCCCCCCCCTAGCGGTGCGCTAGCCGCGTTAGCGATTCGTACGAGACGCTAGGGGGGTCGGATTTCAGTTGCCAACACTGAACATCTATGGATACACAGACACACACACACATACACACACACACACACACACACACGCACACACACACACACACACACACATACATGACTGTATGTACCAAACTCTTATTGCTGGATGTATTTTTCGTTAATGTATTATCGTTGCTTCCTCTACTAGTCAACAATGAAAACACGTCTTCAGCTTCAGGACCTACGATTGGTGAGTCTCCATGTTACTATGAGTATGCGTGATCCATGCATGTGAAAATGATATCAGGAATATGCAGGAATTGAGTAGTAGCAGACGAGGCGCTTCAAAAATATCAAGGAGAGCGAACAGTAGACTGACAAGAGCAGAAAAATGAAGTGAAGTAGGAGCGATGTGTTGAAAGGCTTGAAGATGGATGTTATCATCTATGGTGCACATGGATGTTATCATCTATGGTGCACATGGATGTTATCATCTATGGTGCACATAGACAAAAACGTACTGCCATGTATATGTACATGTATATGCACACACACAAATACACATACAGTGCTGGCAACTGAAATCCGACCCCCCCCCCCTAGCGGTGCGCTAGCCGCGTTAGCGATTCGTACGAGACGCTAGGGGGGTCGGATTTCAGTTGCCAACACTGAACATCTATGGATACACAGACACACACACACACACACACACACACACACACACACACACACACACACACACACACACACACACACACACACACACACACACACACACACACACACACACACACACACACACACACACACACACACATGACTGTATGTACCAAACTCTTATTGCTGGATGTATTTTTCGTTAATGTATTATCGTTGCATCCTCTACTAGTCAACAATGAAACCATTTTGCGTTTACTATAATTTTATGTCTTGCAATGATAGTCACACACATGCATGAATGCATACTGCTAGTTGCCTGTTTGTGTTAAAAAGAAGAGACAACAACAGCGACAACGGCAGGAACAACGAGAATGATCACGACAACGATAGCAACATCTGGGATTTTGATAGATCAGTTCATTGACATAGACCATAGGGCTTGAAAGTGATTACGTCAAAACGGCTAGAGTAAGTAGTAAGTTCTACATTTGGATCCACCAAGGCGTGACTTTGCTATTGCCTACAGTGTGTGGGTGCATCACCTTGTGCTTGCATCCATACAAAAACTGTATGCATGTGGGTCCAGTTTTGGAATTTTTGAAATTGTTGCTATGCTGTGATGTAGCACTTTCAAGCCCTATTAGCAAAACAATACCACACTTATGCATATGCTTGGTTTCACGCTGAAGAAGTATTCAAGATACTGCTCTCATTGGACGGGCACCGTAGTTGACATCAATTTCTCTTCTCTGCCCCTGTGTCTCCCATACAGTGTCTCTTGTCGCCCTCTTTCTCTCCGTCCTGGCCATCTATGCCAACCTGTTGTGATCACCTACACACACACACCTTTTATCCTCCCGATGTTAGTAGCAAGTACTCTCGTTAGCAGTTACTGTTAGTACTTTCTTTGTTTTTGTTTTTTATTTTATTTTATTTTCTCTATTTATTCTCTTTACCAGGCGTGGGCCATCCCCTGGACTAACAAAATGGGTGCCTTATTATTATTTTTCTGTTTCTGTTTTAATGACAGTCCACTGCACGTCTGAAAAAAGTACTTAGTTTATTTTAATTTAGTTTAGGCGGGTTACAGAACTATCGACGTATCGTTCGCTGCCTTACTTGTAGTTTGATAACGCTTCGCTCTTCATTGAGATATCCACCATTCTCTCTCTTTTCTCCTTATTTTCTTCCCTGTATAAACATAATAACATATTCGCTGCCTTGTCCTTGAGCATTTGTGCTCGTTTGGATTTGCGAATTCAAATAAAGTATACAAACAAACAAGTAAACATATAACTTGAAAATGATAGACTCACGCCTGTGGATTGCTCCTGGAATAGTGTACCAACCATCTCTTCAGCGAACACGCTCACAGCAAATTCCCCCCCTCCCATTCTAGATTTTTTCCCAATTTATAAGATTTGTATCTAGTTTTCTCCCGCCGTCTTGCTCCTCTCCATACTCGTGCCAACTCAGATCCACCCACACATGTGTCTGTGCCTGACCATGGTGCAGGGTGAGAGTAAGACTACACTTCTGTGGTTAGACATTGATCTGGATGCATTTTGCAATATGATTGTCATTCCAGTTTCTCATAACATCTTCCTAAACCCCAGCCTGTTCTACTGGACAAGCACTAAAAAATAGTTTGAAAATCGTTTGCACCTTTATACTCCTATGTATTCGTATCCGTTGTTCCGAGCACACGGATAGAAAAGAGTAAAGGTAAGCATAAAGGAAAGCAGCTCGTTTATAATCCAGTGCATGAAGCCTGTAACAGGAAACAAATGGCTGTGGTGTTTTAAATGTTATGGTAGCACAGTCTATTTTGTCGCTTGTATTTGGGTATACAGCTCGCCACCTTTGTCATTGAGTACTTGTTCACATTGGCCCTGATTGTGACCAAGAGAGAGAGAGACAGACAGAGAGAGACAGACAGAGAGAGAGAGGGAAAAGGGACCATGAGCAAGCCGTGAAAAGTCAATGGAACGAGTTCATCAGAACGCACGTGAAACACCGCGTGATTTACGATTACCTTCTCGTGTTCACAACCCGTCTGCGCGAGTCGGCTGCTTTCCAGTTTCAAACAGTTTTCTGAATATTTTTTTACTGGCAACGGGTTTTGCGAATTTTTCTTGAGAACAATATTATTTTCAGTCTAATCGGCTTTTACCCGAATGCAAGTGACAGAAACCCATGAAAGCCACATCGCCGATGCATGTGTGTAGTAAAGGGTTATGCTCACGAGGTCCATGCCACAACATTATCGGAAAGACTTTACAATGGAGCCAATCTGTTGAGAATATTTTTGTATTTGTATTATAATTATTATATTTAAGGATTTCCCAAAGACTTTGGGCCTGTCGAGGGGATCTCCTGCAAGAATAATGAAATGACAACTTTATGTAGAGGGGGCAGTTAATCGAGGATAGGCTAAGGAAATAGATCGAGGCATACAAAATCTGGTAATTTAAAAAGGAGTTGGGATACTTAAAATGTTAATAATGGTTATAAGAAAGGGTTTGCTCCCCACACCGGAGCTCGCGCTATTCCGCCGACTTTACTTGACACTTGACTGACTCACGACTGCCATCCAGAGCACACGAGAAGTCCATTGAACCTTCGACTCGGCAAACCTGCAAGAAAGCACCACTCCCTGCTCAATACACAGTGTTTCGGGGAATTCACCCCTCATCAGTTGAGCTTGAGTAGGCTGAGGAAGATTGTGCCTGAAGAGCACCACTTATATAGTGCTCTCCAGGCACAAACATCACCAGGGATACAAACTTACAGAGACGCTCCGCTTCCAGCGCGACAAACACCTCGTGAACACCAGATAGCAGCGTGAGTCAGTGTCGCTCCTGGACGGTGAGACAGACGTCGAGGACCCTCGGTCATTCGCAACGCTGTCACCTCCAAACCAACTAGTCGCAAGCCCGCGCTGGGCACAACAGTACGAAGTAGTGGTTGCGACTTCGGCGATGATTTGTAAGAAAGGGTTTGCTCCCCACACCGGAGCTCGCGCTATTCTGCCGACTTTACTTGACACTTGTGAGTCAGTCAAGTGTCAAGTAAAGTCGGCGGAATAGCGCGAGCTCCGGTGTGGGGAGCAAACCCTTTCTAAAAAATCATCGCCGAAGTCGCAACCACTACTTCGTAATAATGGTTATGCCAAAATAAATGGTCCTACTGGTTGTTTGGTACGTTTCGCCCTCAAATTTATTCCAACACGAATGGATGAAGCATTTTCGAAATTTCAGAAAAATTGCAAAGTTAAAAAGGCTCGCGATTTACAGCGCTATTCTCCTTATCATGGTTAAAACCGCAAGTATTTGACTAAAACCCACTAGTTGCGGTCATGACGAGTAGACCCCTCCGAACTCGTCAAACACGAGTATGTTTCGCGTGGTCACGACGAGCCTCTAGCCCAGCTCGCCCTTCGCGTTGCCGTTTCACGGCTTGCTAGTGGTCCCTAGAGAGAGGGGAGAGGGAGGGAGGGAGAGGTAGAGAGAGATAGAGAGACAAATAGTAACGCCTCACACTCTAACGGTGACATTAGTATGCTTTCAATTGGGGTTACCCATCACCAGAACGCTCCGCTGATTTTATCGGATACTTTCCAAACTATTTTCGGAAAACGTTGATGTCATAAAAGATTGATCCCTAGTGTCTATCCGTGAGCTAATCGTTCCTTAATAATTGCGCCTTGTTCGTCTCCGACTCATGGACCCTTATAGTTGTCACACACTGTTCGGAGATGCCTCGGGTTGAGCTATGGGCTGTGCAATCATGCCCTCAGTTGTAGCTTCATTAAAAGTGATTGTTCAAGGCTAATAAACTTGAATACCTTCTTTAGGCGTCATAAGGTAAGTTCAGTCATGAGAACGATATATTCGAGATTGACAGATCCGACAGGAATGCAGTTGAGCCAGCGGTGCAGCACAGCTGTTAACAATGTGTGAAGGGGAGTTGAGACACGAGTGAAACGTAACACTCCAGTAACCCGAACTGTAATAGCTGATCCCAGCTCGACCGTGATCTAGCCGGAACTGCTAATTCTTTTCCGGTGCTCTAGATGGTGTTATGTGCTAATACCGAACGATCCGGACACTTCTGCCAAGAAAGCGAACTCCTGTCGCTAGCTGACACCAGGCATGTGTGTGCACACGATTGGTAAGGGATTATCAGAAATATAACTCAACAAAGCGTATGAAGTTAGTGTCATTTGGTTGTTTACAAAGTACTCCAAATTCTCCGAAAATTCAGGGCAGCTTTCACCCCAAGGAACGAACAGCAGGAATCACCCAGCAAACAGTCAACCGAAGTGGGCCAAGATGCAGTTAGCCATTGCAACTCTTCTAAGTAAGTCACAGCAGACTGATGAAAGGATAATTAAGTAAAGATTATATTAAAAGTGGGATATGGACTGTAAAGCAAGCATCGGAATTTCGGGAGAATGCAAATTGCGTTCATATGGCATAAATCACGAGCTTTTGATTCTCGAGAGTACAGCGATGGCAAACGGAGCCATGTTTCACTGCATGGCCAAATATATTAGAAGGTTTAGTTGATGATGGTAGTCCGGTTGTACTGAATCATTTTCTACCCAATAAAACGTCACACGATTGCCCCAAAGAAACAAGAAAAGGCATACCGGCATGTCCTGTGCTGCAAAAGGGAACATCAGGATTGTGATGATGTAAAGCGATATTAAAGGGCTCCGTAGACCAATGGTCTCGGCACCGGCGCCTAATTCACCTATGAAAAAAGGTGAGAGAAACAGAAGTGAATGTTCCCAGTGTAGCGCGGCTTCAAAAGACTACATGTATATTTAGTTGGATCTAGCATGCCTTAAAAATTTAAATTGTTAAAGGGGAAGGTTCACCTACATGCAGGGAGATTGCCCAATACAGCTGTAGAGCACTTGAAGACTCGGACATTTAGAGTACAGGACGCCAATGGTATCAACAAAAAAGACATAGTCCCCGCCCTGGCCTCGATTTATCAAATTTACCGGCAGGATATGGGTTAATGTACTCTACCATTCCAACACACACTCTTGGCATCAAGCATGGATGGATTATATTCGTTCAGCCTCGGAAACTGTGGGAGTGGTTTTCAGTCTCAATGCTCACCGCTAGTTACATGTGATCACCTTTTGTCAATGAGCTCTTCTTAGAATCTGAAATTTAAATTGTCATTAGGTGCCTCAGATCTATATAGATTATGCGAATGGAGGTATAACGGAACGCGATACTGCTGGAATTCTGGTGTATCCAGCTCCGCTCACGTTAAAAAATAATTTTAAAAAATCACGGTTCGCCTGAGACACGGCTGGAAGCCGAGTTTTCTGCATCCGCAGGAACGTCACTACCCTCTTGGATCAAGGCGTAGAATCAGCTCCTAAGCGGCGGGAGGTGCGTAGATGAGACCCACTACAAAGTGGTCAAAGACCGAAATCCCATTCACTGCATCCGTGTTTCCCTCGTGCAAAGCCAAGGGTTCCCAATTAACTGTGGTTCGCAGCACGGCTGGAAACAACCCTTCCGCTTCCAGGCAGGACTTGAACCTGATACCCTCTGTTTCTCAATCATGGTCTTAGCCGACCATCCCACTGCGCCTGCCTTCCGCTGACGTTAGTTGGCCGTAATAATTATGCCGTTCTGTAGCTTGGAGCTAGTACTTCCGATGCTTGACACCTAACATAATATTATTGCAGTGCTCCGGGCATGATTGCTTTTCTACTTGCAGATTGATGCACGTCTGCTAGCCAGTTGTTGAAATTTTAAACCAAGAAGGTCGTCTGTGTTATCGATAGGTGTTCGAAGTACAATGATTACCGAATTGTGAACAGGGCAGATTCGCAATGATATCGACGGCAGCGCAGCTAATGAAACCACAAAATTATACGTTAGACATTACACGTCGTGTGGAGTAAACCGCTGAAAACTGGCTTTCAGCTGCTCCGGGAGTCGTTACCAAGTGAACTTTATAATTATCACGATTTATTATTTTTTACTACTGTCATTAAGCACAGTCATGTGACGTTAGCCAGTGTTAGTATGGCGTTGGCGATTATTATATAACCAGCCATGGCATAGCAGAAGAAAGAAAGTGCAAGAAATTCAAAAAGACAGTACAAGTATTTTGTCGAGGCCTAGACATGGGTGCATGATGGCTTGGAGAGCGTAATTTACTTACGTGCCAGTGACACGCATCTGTAGCAGGAAGGTCACCTTACCCTGCTCATTCTCCCAGCACCACAACCTGTCCAACCCTCCTCTGCCTTCAAGCGACAGATTGC